ATGATCGCGGGCTTTTTTCTTTTTTTTTTGAGTACAAAATTGAAAGTCATGTCAAGGAATGGGATTTTTCCATCTTTACGTTTGATTAGTGTATCAATCTCCATCAAATATTCTGGATCATCATCTGAAAATACTAATTCATCTCTTTCGTCATCATCAATCTCTATGTCATTGTCATTATTATCAACATTATCATTATTAACTCTAGAATTAATCATATCATTTGAGTTAATGATAGTGCTAAAACTGCTCATGCTACTATTACCTATATTAAAACTATTGGTAAGACTATTATCAATGATACTAGCACTACTACAGATATCATCATTACCAAGTTTACCATTACTACTTTCGTTGTCATTTCTATCAGAAGATACATTGTTTAAAATGCTGGAAATGCTCATCATTTTGATTACTATAGTTGTAATTGTTACGTCTACTAAGAAAAAAGAATAAATTCAAAATATTTTCAATATAAAATTTTTTTTTTAAAACCCGGATGGAATTTTTTTTAAAAAAAGAGAAATGATCTATAATAATAATAATAATCTATTATTAAATTGGAAAAAATTTTGTGATGTAATAATTTATTATATGCAGATATAATTATAACAATCATAATAGTTTACAATGGGTGTTGTTTATTATAACAAGACACGAATTAAAAGTCCAAAAAATCTAAAATTTTTATCATCACTATTACATCATTTGGGATAAATGAATTCTTTCGAACAAACAGATATATTGTATATGTGAAGATTTATGTGCGTTAGAATTCTTGATAATTATTAATTATTGTAAAAATAAAATTAATTGATACATACCAAATCTCTATGGATCACACCAGCTGAATGAACATACTTTAAGCCACGCTAAATATATATAATACAATAATGTCACGTACAATTCATTGTTAATAAATTTATTTATTTGATTGATTGTATTTTAAAGTCTCACCAATATTTGATATAAAAAGTATTGAATGAATTGTTTTTCCAATGGATATGAAGTTAACAATTGATGTAAATCTGTTTCTAATAATTCTGTAACAAAATAACTAAATATTATGAAAATGTGATTTGCAGATTTTAGTTCGCATGTTTAGGAAAAATCTATTACTATTCATTTCATTTCAAATTTGCGTAATGGTCTATTAAATTTATACTTACATGTCCTCTAATGGCGAAATAAAAACATCATTTAAACTAATAATCTATTGTTTAGTCATAATATAAGTTTATCAGAGATCAAAATAATTAAAAAAGAAAGAAAAAAAAAATTACATTTTCATGTTTCAATTGCTTGAGTAATTTAAATTCTCGAAAGGTTCTTTTTGCAAGAACAGGTGTACTAAAAGGTTTTAGAATTTTTTTGATGGCAACATTGGTTGTTTTAAGTTGGTCTTTTGCAGAACTGCAATGATTATTATTATTATTATTATTATTATAGAATAATTATTATTTTAAATTTAATGCAGCATTCATTACTTATATCTACCAAACTAAACCAAATGCTCCCATGCCAATTGGTTGAAGATCCACATATCTATTTTATTTTGTTTAAATTTGTTTTATATTATATGTTGTTTGCTGGTTAGAAACTCATATTAAAAAACAATTTATCAAAATGCCTTGTTGTGACTTCAAAAACGGTTCCAAATATTGATAATTTCACGAAATCAGTCATATTAGTTATTTCATTTATGAGAAAAAAAGAATACATGTATGTTTGTTTTCCATCTTTATTATTTTTCAATATCCAACATTCAATACATCATTATGAAGTCATCAAATCTTAATTTCTAGTCGATCTTTGCATAATATCGTTGTATAATATCGTGTAACAAATATATACTTGTTAGCCACAAAGAATACACGTTATTAGTAAAATTTTTCTCAATATGTCGATTATGTGGGCAGACAAATATAAACCTGACACTTTTCAAAATCTCAACTATCATGAAGACATTTCGAAAAGATTAAAAACTTTGGTGAGCTTTAAGACCAAAAGTTGAATAAACACGTAAAAAATGTTATTTAGTATTAAAATCAAATTATAGGCTTCATCGGATGATTTTCCACATTTACTCGTATACGGACCCTCAGGTGCAGGTAAAAAGACGCGTATTGCTTGTACTTTACGAGAATTATTTGGTGATGGTGTTCTAAGGGTATATATATTTAATTTTAATTAAACAATATTTCTTGATTCTAGTGGATAATATTTTTTCTGATAACATTTCTCCTATTCTTATTCTTCTTTAGATTAAATCAGATCAACAAACTGTTATTCCGCCTTCAAATAAGAAATTTGAAGTTAACATAATAGCAAGTAATTATCATATTGAAATATCACCTAGGTAAATCAAATAGATAATGTACTCTAATGAAATTTCTTCTTGACCATCTAAACTGATTTATTATCATTACCATTAGTGATGTTGGAATTCATGATCGAATAGTTATTCAACAGCTAATCAAAGATATTGCACAGACTCAACAAATTGATGCAAGCGCTAGGCATAAGTTCAAGGGTGATTAATTTTAAACATTGCAACCTTTTTAATTTTTTTTGATGACAACCGTAATGTTAATGCTAGGTTTTCTTTATTTATGTCATGTCTTTGGCCAGTTGTCATAATTGATGAAGCAGAATCTCTTACTCGTGAAGCACAAGCAGCATTACGTCGAACAATGGAAAAATATATGACAAATCTTAGAATAATTCTTTGCTGTAATACAATAAGTCGAATCATTGAACCTATTAGAAGTAGATGTTTATTAATTAGAGTACCTGCACCTACTATTGATGAGGTGAAGACCTTTAAAAGATATATATATATATATATATATAATGTATTTAATGTATTTAACAATATAAACACTGATTGATTGAAAATAATAATAATAATTAAAATTAGATTACTAGCATACTTTTCAAGATTGCTCGTGAAGAAAGAGTAAATCTACCTAATAGAATTGCAAGAAATATAGCGGAAAGTTCAAACAGAAATTTACGAAAAGCAATTTTAACTTTTGAGACTATGCATTCAATGTAATTATAGCTAACATTTAAAAACTGATTGATTGATCGATCGATTGATTGATTGATTAATCAATTAATCTGCTAATTACTTTATTTTATTTAGGAATGAGAATTTAAATAATAATGATGAGATTATAACCACTGATTGGGAACGATATATCAAAGATATGAGTGAAAGATTGGTTAAAAATAGTTCAAAGCCTGAAGAGTAATTACTCTATTAGAATTAGTTACTCTATTATTTATGAGAAAATATTTTAATTTCTTTTTTTATTATAACAACAATAGATTAAAAAGATTAAGAAATGATTTTTATGATTTAATAAATCATCGTATTCCTCCCGCAACTATTTTAAAGGTAAATTTTATCACTTTACATGTATTTCGTTTAATAAATACTTATATTTATATAAATATAATATCTATATTTAGACATTGGTATCTGAATTAAGAAAAATCACTAATGGTAAAGTTAGAGGTGAAATCATCAAAGAAGCCGCACGATATGTTTGTATTAATAATTAATTTATCTGATTATCAAATTAGATACATTCTCATCATGATTGATTTACACATTCTTACTATAGGACCTTCGAGTGAAAGTTGGTCAAAAATCTATTTTTCATCTTGAAGCATTTGGAGCAATAGCCATGAATATAATTAACAATTATTAATGAAAACGTGAAAAAAATTATAATTTCGGAATAGAATACTTTTTGTCCGATAAAATATTCAAATCGAATTATCCATTCATACATCGATTTATACTTTTATCTTTATGCTTTTAATATTAAATGGATTATCTAAAAGCAAAGAATATAAATAATAAAGAATATAACCTCGGATATGTTGTATAAATATAAATATAAATGGGTCAAAAATCTTGATCTGTACTACTATCAATTGAGGTCCTCAAATTTTTATCAACTGATAATCAAAATTTTTTTTAGTCCAATGTAATGTCTTTCAGGTAAAATCAGAAACAGCTTTCTTAAAAAGCCAAACGTCTGTAAAAAAGAAATGAAGGAATATATATATTAACAAATCATGATGACACTTCATTAAAAAATATCGACTACAATTTTAAATATATCAACAGTATAAAGAAATAGTAGTATGTAGCGATTAAACTTTTTTCTTTCCATTCACATTCAAGGCCTCAGAAATCGTTGGTCTTTCTTATTTAGACGAAGGAAATTCACTTCTTTTTAGATTAATCAGGCACTCGCTCTGTTTCTCTTTCAATGTAATGTCATTTCAGTGTGAAGAATTTAGAATCATATAGACGTTCTCATTAATAATGGCAACTTTTCTCTTTACTATACTCATTGTTTATATTCATTTCGAAAGTGTAGAGAATGCTAGGACTTTTGATAGCACTAGCGGTGGCAAAAACAGCAATATCAGTAGCATCAAGTGAAAAAGGAAGTTAAATAATAGAAATTAGAGGTTATTCAAGAAATGAAAGGGGAGTTAAAAAGAGTACACAATAGTTAATTTACCATTAGTTTTCTCAACGATGAGAAAAAATTATATAATGTGGCGTGCTTTGATTATTATAGTCTGGCCCATTTCACATAACTAAACTCTGCATGACAAACTTTTTTATTTGGAGGAAGCACGAACTATATTCATACAATTTTAGAATGCAAATTATTGCTCAAGAATGTGTCACTATACATTCATTAGGAAAATTAGTAGTAATAATAAATGTTCTACGGGTCAACATAGAATAAGCAAATAGTTGACGTAAAATATACATAGAGTGTATATTAGTTATTCTCTGAAAGGAAAAAGGCTGAATTATTGATATCTTCACACTGTCACCACAAAACATTTAACGATTATGATGACAAAATAAACAAAGTGTAAGCATCTTGGATAATATTTATAGTTAGCATGGGAAACAATAGTGCATTCGTTTGTTCTATGAAATTATTCAATCACATTATTAATGAAATCAAATAAATTAAATCAATCAACTCAGTTAATTGTCTCTCAATTGTAAACAACTTTATATGTCTCTTGCATTTCGTCTGCATCGTAACACCCAATTAGATTTTTTTTTTACATTAGATAATCTAACCGTTTCTATTTCACTCGCTTCTTCCGTATTGAAAGAATGAAATCCACAAAACTCAATCAGTCGTCAATCAAGGTTCAATTAAATGATATATATTATTTATATATATAAATTTAAAATGACTGATACATGCGTAAACAAAAAGGTAGAGGACCACAAGAAAACGTGTCCATTAGATGTAATTATTTTTTGCAACTTGGTACTAAAAAATTATTCTTTTCAATTAAAATTCTAAAAAATAATAACTTATGATTTCATTGATGTATGGAGTTCTCCTAAAGCAATCATAATAAGATCATTAAGTCTTATTTTAAATATTTTTTTTTTAAATCACTGGTTGTCTTCAACAAATATTGAATCAAATTCCACTACTATGATTTTGACCAAGGATAATTCAGGCCAGGGCTTTGCATTAAATAGCTTGGAAGTCATAGTTCGTCATTCGCTGGGTCTCTACAAACAACTCTTTATTATTATCATGTATCCATATTTTTATCAATGCAGTTAAAATTCTTACACATAATTAAAACCATAAAGATTCTAGTTAACATTATTAGCCTGACAAAAATGTATATATATTAATATGAGAAGCTTCTAGTTACAAAGTAAGGTTTTTGATTATTTTTTAATTACATGCTCTCTTTCATCTAAACTAAATGTTCTCATTTTATAACAACATTATTTATTTCTTTAAAAAATTTAATTGCCAAATTTATTTTATATTAAAAATATATACAAGAGTAAATATATATACATACATAGCATTAAGAAGTATTAAATTCACCAATTTTTTAAAAAAGAATAAAATCAATTGATATCTTTCATTTCCCAACATTATATCAAAAAAAAAGAATTAAACTTTGTGTAAACGTTTGTGGCGGTTCAAGGTACTAACTGTGGCAAAATTTTTGCCACAATCATTACATTTATTGTTTTTGTTCTTGCTCTTATTGTTCTTATTGTTCTTATTGTTCTTATTGTTGTTATTGTCATTATAGTTATTATAGTTATTATTACTGTTGTCGTTATTGTCATTATTGTCATTGTTGTTGCTGTCATTATTGTTGTTGTTGTTGTTGTTATTGTTGTTGTCATTTTTGTTGTTACCTTTGTCATCGTCACCAATATCATCTTCTGGATGCTTTAAACGTCGGTGTCTACTACGGTTGCTTGATGAGCTAAATACTTTTTCACATCCGGGAACTCTACATTTGAAAATATTTTTTTTCCCATCAGATTGTGATGAGGTAAAAGTGGCAGTGGTGTTGGGAATGTTTGACGTGGTGGGGAAAGGTATTGTGGTAGCTGTAGCAGCAGTTGTGACGATTGTGACATTGGAATCAGGGGGGTTTTTATCATATTTTCTTTTTTGTTTTGTTATTGGTGATGATGATGATGGTGCTGGTTTATCTAGTTTCCTTTTCTTATAAATCTGATTTTTTTTCTCATCATTATCTCCGTTATAGTCATCATTGTTATTATCATCTTTGTTGTTATTATCGTCATCTTTATTATCATCACAAGTTTTGAAATCTTTAGGAAATGATCTCTTTCTTCCTCTTAATTTTTTAGGAGATTCTTCAACCTCTGTAAGATCAGATCCATAAAAGATATCATCAGTTGTATATTTAATGTTGCTATTTAGTTGATCGATATGATCACAATTCTCATCATTACGAGTGGTTTTTGATGTTGATGATGATGATGGTGGTGATGATGATGATGATGATGGAGTTGTTAGATTATTGTTGTCATCGATTTGAATGATCGCGGGCTTTTTTCTTTTTTTTTTGAGTACAAAATTGAAAGTCATGTCAAGGAATGGGATTTTTCCATCTTTACGTTTGATTAGTGTATCAATCTCCATCAAATATTCTGGATCATCATCTGAAAATACTAATTCATCTCTTTCGTCATCATCAATCTCTATGTCATTGTCATTATTATCAACATTATCATTATTAACTCTAGAATTAATCATATCATTTGAGTTAATGATAGTGCTAAAACTGCTCATGCTACTATTACCTATATTAAAACTATTGGTAAGACTATTATCAATGATACTAGCACTACTACAGATATCATCATTACCAAGTTTACCATTACTACTTTCGTTGTCATTTCTATCAGAAGATACATTGTTTAAAATGCTGGAAATGCTCATCATTTTGATTACTATAGTTGTAATTGTTACGTCTACTAAGAAAAAAGAATAAATTCAAAATATTTTCAATATAAAATTTTTTTTTTAAAACCCGGATGGAATTTTTTTTAAAAAAAGAGAAATGATCTATAATAATAATAATAATCTATTATTAAATTGGAAAAAATTTTGTGATGTAATAATTTATTATATGCAGATATAATTATAACAATCATAATAGTTTACAATGGGTGTTGTTTATTATAACAAGACACGAATTAAAAGTCCAAAAAATCTAAAATTTTTATCATCACTATTACATCATTTGGGATAAATGAATTCTTTCGAACAAACAGATATATTGTATATGTGAAGATTTATGTGCGTTAGAATTCTTGATAATTATTAATTATTGTAAAAATAAAATTAATTGATAAAAAAAAACATATTTTATCAAATAAACCCTCAAACATTTATCATTTGCTTTATCCTCTTCCTCTTTCTCTTCACATCAAATATTACAATCATCATTTAAACAACATTTATCCAGTCAAACCTCGCCGCAGCGGATTGTAATTATAGTTAAATTAGTGCTAAAACGGAATTTTGCTTCACATGTTACTATCAAACATTAAACCTGTTATGACAAAATAGTATTAGTAATTTTGGCGTGACAATAATAATAACGAATTTTTAAATGAAGTTCTCTTATGTGTCCCGCGCATCCGTTTTAGCAAAGCTTGACTGTAGCATTAGTACGCGTTAACTTAAAAAAATTTAAAATAATGTTACTCATAGCCGTCTAATAACGATGAAAAAGGGAAGGTCCTATGATGGGAAAATATTATGTGCGTATAGAGACCCGCCCTTTCTAACCTGAGCTGTATTTGGAACTCATAGTATATTTTTTAACAAATAACGCAAACATTTGGATTGATTGATCTAAACCATAACAATCGCATCATGTGGTTTAAATGTTGATTAATCTAAATATAACTATGACATCATATGGTTTAAGATGTTTTTTATTAAATGGTGTGCAAACAATGAATAGCATTTGATTAATGTGATTTAAATATAATCAATAATGCATTATTTATAGGTTTATTCTTTGTTACAGGTAACATAAAATCTTTACATGGTCTGGAAGCTATCTTATTTTTCATAAATGAAGAAAATTCCACAAGAATCTGAAGATAAGAGAGAAGCAGTTTGCTTAAATGAGAGATCTTCCAGTCTAACATGTTCAATCTCCAATTTAGCAAAATGAAAATAAATTAAGTTAATTAAAATATTGAACTGGTTTATTTCATTACACTTTTTCTTGTCCATATAGCTTTATAAATCCATATTTAGCTAAATTTGTTATACCTTTTTCAAATTGCTCCATTCTAGAGTTTGGCAAAGATTATTTCATTTGGCATTGTTAAGTAAAATCATCAACCATGTCATTTCCAGATGCCCAAGTAGTGAAAAGACTCTATAATTGTAAAACCAATACAACCTTCACAGAAATCCATCAGGGCATTTTGTTGATTTCCACTTGTTACATTCTTTTGGTTTGCCAATATCACCTCTCGCGTTGCTTAATTCAAATCATGAATGAACGTTTTTTACAAAATTCATTTTCAGAAAGTTCCTAATTTTTTTTTACCAATGAAAAAAAAATAATATTTTCTATTTTCTTTAACAGAAAATTATTGCTTTAATTCATTGTGAATTTTTTATATACAGATGCCCTTTGTCATTTCCAGATGCCCAAGTAGTGAAAAGACTCTATAATTGTAAAACCAATACAACCTTCACAGAAATCCATCAGGGCATTTTGTTGATTTCCACTTGTTACATTCTTTTGGTTTGCCAATATCACCTCTCGCGTTGCTTAATTCAAATCATGAATGAACGTTTTTTACAAAATTCATTTTCAGAAAGTTCCTAATTTTTTTTTACCAATGAAAAAAAAATAATATTTTCTATTTTCTTTAACAGAAAATTATTGCTTTAATTCATTGTGAATTTTTTATATACAGATGCCCTTCTTATTCTTTCTGGTGATAATTCGTGATACGTGATCGAAGTAGATAAAATTGTGGGGGATCGTCATTATTAAATGATATATTTCGTAGCAACCCTGAATATCAGAAAATGTAGCACAGCATGCACTCATTAAATTATCTTTTTTTTTTTTTTTTGAACAGTAATGTTTATACCGACTGATTATTTTGCCAATTTGCAAATTTATTTAAGAATGTTTGACACGAAATTAACCGACGAATTAAAAATAAATTTTTATAATAAAAACAATAATAAATTGATTGGATCAATTGATAATTAATTAAATAGATTGTAATAAATTATTATATTGGTGCATTATATTGGTGCATTTATGATTTATGACCTTCGTTATATTGGTTTTATTACATTTTCGATTGGGTAACGTGTAACGAACAATAAAAAGAGGTTCACTCCAACAAAATTTCAATATTGTAGGTGATGAAGCAGCAGACAAAGGCGATGAGGAAGAGGTAATATCTGACATAATGATGGTAGTAGTGATGCTGATCTGATGATATGTTGATGGTTGGTTTTTCTTAGCAATTCTTGCTATGCAAATATCTCGAGTAAAATGTTTGGCTACCTTTTGGAAATCTCTTTTTGTGCTAAAAAAAATTACACATATTTTCATTAATAAAAATATAGATAAATATGTAAATATTTAAAAATATTGGCTCCTAAGGTTTTTATGTCTAGTGAAACGCCTCACATATAATAATAATAATAATAATAATAAACTTTCAGAATGGTATATATATAAATTTATTATATTAGTGGTGCTGATCTATTAAATTATTTCTTGAATTTATTTAACAATCCTCTTGATTACTACCTCTTTCTTGTATAAACCTAGAAAGATTTGACAAATCTGTAAGCACACTTTAGGGCACAAATAAACAAAGAAGGCTCTTTTATAAAGTGACAAATGCTTTTCTAAAGTTCTTCCTTATTTACTTTTACTTTCATTTTGCCATCTAAAAGCTCTGTTGGTTTGGTTGGTCTCTTTACTTAAACTGTTTACTTAACAGTTATACGTTTTCAGTAATACTTTAACACAGTGCAATAAAATAATAACAACTTTGGTCAATAAATGACTGCACTTTATATTTGTGGACTGATAATAACCGTTAACACTTTATACTTTGCCAAACAATTTAACGCTTACTTTTATGTCCACACTCAAACATTTAACTCTTTTGTGAAAACTTGGGCAAAAGTAAAACCTTTGCTTTGCAAATAACTAAAACTTCGGGGTTCTATACCCCGATAATCAAAGAACAAACAAACCTATTGTTTAATTTCTAACATCAAAGTGTCATTCAAAGACGAAGTGCAAAAAAAAAGTATCGATTAAAGTTGATTATTTAGAGAAATTATGACAATCAAAACATTGCTTAAATTTCAAAAAATTTTGAATTCTCAAGTAATCTGTCAATCCGAATATGACTGACTGGATTTTTTTATGGATGTCTAGATTGATTGGAAAAGGCTCTCTACTCATGAACTTCTGCATTTATACGACGCGCAAGATTCTCATCTCAATTCCATGTACCTAATCATTCAATTCATCATAAAAATTAGTAAAACGTCTTGGGATTGACTGATTCCTGAAAGGTGTAAACCTTTTACAATTCAATCAATTTAATCAATTAACATTGCAAAAATATTATAAAAGCCTTGCATGATACCTTTGATAATTTTTCATTCATTTGTAAGAATCATACAATTATTATTTAAAGCTTGTACAGTGCCTTTAATATTATAAAAAATTTGCTCCCGAAGGTAAACAAAGCACAACTGGTACAAAGTCATAACCAAAAATTGTTAAACGATATTTTTATCAACCGAGTGGGCTAGGTCATCAGGAAACCCAATTTCATATGTTTCATGTATACATGAAGACGAAATTAAAACCCAAAAGTCGAAACATTTCGACCTGAGAGCAACAGTCGAATTAAAAGTCGAAATGGTCGAAATTACATGCTTCAAATTGTCATAACTCGGTCGATATACGGTTGTTTGCTTAAAATAGCTACCATCCGAATTCTCTCGATGAGATGAGTCTAATGAGATGTAATTGAATAGCTGACTGATTATTGAGATATTTTGGTTTGCCATATATCTTACAATAACTCGCCATTTATCGATGCTGTAAACATTACAATACCATTATTCGGATCCTCCTTATGAGATTATTCTAATGGACTGTGCTTCATTAAATTTGGATCACTGGTCCTCAAGATAAATGATTTCGAAATTATTAATTATAATAAATCATGTGATATGACATAATTTAAATTCTGTATGCTTATTGTTATTTAATTATTTTATGTATATTTTATAGCAAATAATCTCTATTTATTATTTGTTTAAAGTTTGCTCAAAATGGTCTACAAATAATATTTGATTTAGTGTATAAAATACATGAATGTATATAATACAATTATTATTATATTTAGTTTATATTTTATATGTATTATAATGTGAATATATCACAAATATCAAACAAATAAAATAATTAATTATAAAGTATATTTTGGTAAGCTCCAAACAAATTGAATCAAGTTGAATTTTTTTTTTAATGTCATATTAATAATACTGTATATTAAGAGTTTTAAATTGATATTATATTAAATTCCTGTTTGTTAATATTGGGTGTATTCACGAATTAATAAAGTTGGTTTTTAATGAACATTATGCATAAAATTACTATTAACAACTTTAAACTCGATTAATTTTGATGATGATAACAAATTAAATATAAATTTACAGTCGCACAATTCATTAATGATGGTTGCATGCATTGTTCAAAATGACGCCTCTTCAATAATAACCTTTTTCGATTTCGAAACCAATTTCCAAAGGCAACTATATAGAATTCAAATTATTTCATATTGGTTCTATTCGAATTGTTCGTTTATTCATTTTATTTGAATTGTTGTTTATTCGAATTATTTATTTTATTCAAACTATTCGTTTTGTTCGTTTATTCGTTTATTCGAATTATTCATTTTATTCAATTATTCATTTTATTTGTTTTATTTGTTTTATTTGAATGCTTGATTTCATAACGAATAAAACAAATAATTTAAATAAACTTTATTCGAATAGAAACCCTATCAGATTTGAGTGAAATGATTGATTAATTTGTGTTTCGCCAATCATGCGTAGAACCATTAACATATAAAAACATAGTTATGTTTATTCTAGCATATATTGTGGATATAATTTGACAACTAATAAGTGCTTTATTAAAAAGATAATGACCGACATATTTATATTAAATATGAAAAAACCAATTTTAGACATTCTATATGTTAGTACAAATAAAACAACAAAATCAAATTTCCCTGTTTTTAATATTTCAATTTTATATACGTATATGTAAAATCTTTGGAATCTGGCGATGTCCTATATAAAAATTAGAAAAAACAGAGTTAATATATTTTTGAAATATTTTTGAAATATTTGGTGAACTCAATGAGCGGAGCACATGACAAATCACCAGAAGATATTTAAATGAAATTTGTAAAGAAAATTTCTAAAGAAAATTCTAACAATTGAATATTCATATTAGTATTAGTATTAAATTCATTTGTAATTGTAACTTTGATTGCTGTCATTGTTTGAATTATCATATTATTATTATTTTGCATATTAATGTAATAATGAACTTTTTACCTTCCAATTATATATACAATTTAGTAAGGAGAACAAGAATCCTTATACTAAAAAAGGTAAAAATGTATTTCCTTTCAACAAATAGTTTTTTAAAAGCTTTTACTTTTTAGTTTGTCTGGGCGAAAACCAAAGAATTAGAACAAGGGTATTAATATTATGACTATCTAATGGTGAACAATCTTGTCATGCGACAAAATAGAATGTCACTATTACTATTACTATTGTTATTGTTGTTAGTCATGTTATCGTTAATTTTTATTTTCAAAAAAAAAAAAAAGGATTTAATATTGTTATTATTATCTATTGATCCGATGATAACAATCTTTGTCACACCGAATATTATTGTTGTTTGTTAATGTCATTGAGAATTAGTTAATTTTTCAAAAAAAATTTTTAGGGTAAACAATTAGACGGTGAGCAATCTTATTACGCGATAAAACAGGAACATTATTATCTTATTGTTATTATTATTATTATTATTTTCAAAAGGATTTAGGGTTGGACGGTTGATATGATGGCGAACAATCTTGTTATGCGACAAAAGAGAATATTATTGTTATTATTGATTAGCCAATTTTTCTTTCTCTTTTCCAAAAAGAAAAAAAGGATTTATTTAGAGTTAAACAATTGATCTGATGGCGAATAATCTTGTTACGCGACATAACATAAAACAACATTAAGAATTAATGTCTATCTTCTTTTTTTTTTTCAAGGTTAATGGTGAATGGTCTTATATTACGCCATTCACCATTAAGGAAAAAAAACCCAAAATATTATATTATTACATTGGGAATATTATTGTTGTATTTTTATATTTTTTAAAGTAAACAATTTCAAAATAGCTGAATAATGTAATATTAATATGTATACATCACATATATTTTGCATTATGTGTAATTTAAATGATTGTAAATAAAATAATATACTTGCAAATTATATACATAATTTACAAACAGCATGTTTGCTTACTCTCTACAATTGTCATTATTATGCGTACAACTGTACGCTAATTGTTTGCTAAATCTCTGCTAATATTGTATACTTTTGAAGATCAATACTCCTGATGGTGTTTACAATTAAAGCTGTTTTCGAGTTGAAATAAAGAATATTTGAAGCAAAATGACATCTCGTTGTTATTGCACATAATCCCAATTCTCGCAATTACCAAGAATCTACAGATCATTCCTTTGCCTTTAGGGCCCGACCCTTTTTGCATACACGCATGAACTTTATTTTATGATTTAAATCTAAAATTAGAATTTAATTTGTGAATCAAAACTTAATAAAGCCATTTTAAGAAGAGTCTATTCATTAAATATGTAGGTCGTGTAGATTCGGAGTGCTCTCTCATTCAGCAATTAATATTGATACGTAGAAGTTTCATCTCTTACCCCCTTTTTTAATGTATGATAATCATATGTGTAAAAATCCTTTTTGATTTAGTATAAATTGAACACCGCCATCATTTCTTATGAAAAATTAAACAAAATAAAATGTTTTTTCTTTCCAATTATGAATTGTTTTTTGAGGTCATCAACAACTTAACTGTCTTGTTAATTACATTTATATCATTATCCGTGTTTAGATATTATTATTTGTATTTCACACGAGAGAATCCACTCCCGGGACCATTTCCGTTACCATTGGTGGGTTCAATACATCACGTGTTTTATGGAGACCTTCAAAAATATTTCTTGAAAGTTTATCAAAAGTATGGAGATTTAACCGAGGTCTGGTTTGCAGATTTTCGAATCATATTAACAAGCAGAGAGGATTATATTGAAAGTTTCGTATCACCTTCAACAAAATCAAAATATTCAATGAGAAATCCCTATATAGAAGGTCTTGATGAATTTTTAAATATAAAAACAGGAGTAATTGTAAATCATGATTATAAATCATGGAAGTTTAATAGAATGTTTCTTATAAAAACTATTGCAGAAAAAAAACTTTTGGATGAAACAATTGAATCGCTTCAAGAAAAATTTAAAGAAATGAATGGATATTGGAATGATCTTCTTAATGAAGTAGAAGGAGAAACACTCAATATTGACTTTATTCAATGGATACAAAGATTTGTCACTGATAATATTCTGCCATCAATGACTGGCAAAAAATCCCATTCATCCTTGGTAAGATATTATTATTATAGTTTGAAAAATATTAATAATGCTTCTGAATCATTGGAGTTGGAATCTTTACTAGTTAACATAAAATCAGTAGTGGATGGCGTAGATTATTTTGCATTTACACCTTATATAATGAGACACTATGTTCCGATAATAAGAAATAACACCAAAGTATATCTAAAGAATAGGGATTGTTTATGGGAAAAGTTTGGGAAATTTATTGTTGAAAAAAAAAAAGAAATCGAGAAAATTGAAAGTAAGGATAAATTAAGATATGATATCTTGACTGCATTAATTACTGCAAATACAGATAAAGATATGCTTAATATTAAGAGATTTGATGATGAGAAATTTAATAGACCTTTAACCAATGAAGAAATTAGAGGAGTTTTAGTTGATGTTTTTTTTGCTGGAGTTGATACCGTAAAGATTAAAAATTTATTTATTTTTTTCTTTTGAAGATTTCTTTTGGAGATTAATTTTAATTGTTTTCTTTTGTTATTATTTTAGACCTCAAACTTCTTTACTGCAGTAATATATTACATAGGAAAACATCCAATGGTTTTAAAGAAATTACACGAAGAAATTGATAAAGTATTTTTTAATAATGGTGGTATTAATGACAATAATATCGTTATCACTCAAGAAAAATTATCTAATTTAGTTTATTGTGAAGCCATTATCAAAGAAACTGCAAGACTGTCACCAATTAATGCATTTGTTGATCGTATAAATACTGAAAAGGACACAATCAAGAGCCATGAATGGCCAACCAATACAGTATTTTTAATGAACACAGTAGCTTTGAATTTAGATCCATTGAAATGGGAAAATCCCAATGTATTTGATCCTGATCGATTTTTTAATAATAAAAAGGATGCTTTGATGTTTGGTGGTGGTCATAGAATATGTCCAGGAAGAAAATTAGCAATGGTTCAGATGAAATGTTTATTGGTTTTAATTTATCATTATTGGGATGTTGAATTAGTCAATAAAAATGAACCTCTTAAAGGTAGATATTTAACCATTAGAAGGATTTCAGAATTGTTGGTTAGAATTAAACCACGCAAAATTTAAAGCATTACAAATCAGTCATTTGACTTTATAATAAAATAATTTATTTATCAATTATTATCGTAAAATCATCTTCAAACCTTTTAAGTAAAAATAAATTTATAAATAATGAAGCTTTTATAATTGCCTCAAGAAATCTTGGAAAAATATTCTACTGATCTTCTAGGTTTAAATTGTTAAATCTTGATTTTATTATTTTAAGATGTTTCTTCTTCTTTCTTTATTATTTCTGTCCAAAATTCTATTGCATATCTTATTTGGTTTCCTACAGATTCTCTTTCTACTCCTTTTCCATCATATACTTTTATTTGGTCTGTTTTCTTAAATTCTTGTACTCCTTTCTTTAAACAATTCCTGATATAATGAAGTGTATTTCCTATTTTGTCATGTAATTCATTCTTTTCTTTTTCTTCGGCTGTATTTAAGTTGTCTGAATATTCTAATTCTATGATTCTTTTAAAATCATTTTCTAGACTCTGTTGATCCTGCTGACTTATTTGATTAATGTATGTTAAAGCTCCTGACCCTGATAAATATGTTGATAAATATATTTTTTGAATTATTTTTAATTTTAAAGGTAATTCTTTAAATGGTATATACATTTTATTGAACTTGTATTTGAGCAAGTACTATTCCTTTTGTCTTGGAATTTTTTAATTTTATTATTCTTGAAATAAAATAAATAATCGTTAGTAGTATTATTTGGAATTCCATTTATATGTTATGTAGTACCGTAAATGCGCAGTTTATTCATTGATCTCAGCTCGTCACTGTCATAAAACTACAAAGCGTCAAACCTTTTCATTTCTAAAATTCAGAAGTTGTATTAATACCACCACCTATAAATTTTAATGCAAAAAAGTTATTCAAAATCACTTTCTGAAGTTACCAATAACTTAATTGTATTGTCAATTACCTTTATATTATTATTTGTATTCACATGATCACTGGACTATTTTCGGTGAGTTCATTATTTTAGAACTTTGTCATCTTTTAAACAAAACCAATATATATGATGAGAATTAGATTTAAAGAAGGTATTGATGAATTAACATATCCAAAAAGAAGATTTAATAGAACATTTTTATAGGTGCAAAAAATTTTTGGACAAGGAATTGAAATCTTCTTGATGTTAATATTATTATTTATTATTGAAGTCTTAGTTATTATATTTATTGGACTTTTAGACTTGATACACCCTCATTCGATATCGAGAAAGCTTTCCATGTGTCGCATTTGTAGCTGAATTAAAAAGCATCTCATCGTGTGGCTTCAAGGATACCTGAACACAAAAAAAATGTTGCACCACAAAAATACATCTGTCAGGTTAAACTAATAATTGTATAAATATTATTGTTATAGCAATAGTAATAACTTTAATAAAATATTTAATCATTTCGATTCAGCAACCAACCTCACTCTCAATCATTCAATTCACCATAGAAAGTGTTAAGACAATCTTAGAGATTGATTGACTGATTATCTATTCATAGTTTTTGCGCAATAATTTATTAGCAATTATTATAAAAGATTGCGTTATACTTGCGTGGATAATCGGTTACAAATACAAGTTATGTTCCAAATATTAAAACAATATCCTGAATTTATTCACTGCTCCACAAGGGAAGCATCATGCATCAATAAATTATTTAATTTGTGAATCATAAATTTAGTAAAGTCTCTTTTAAGAAGAATCCATCTATTATAAAGACTAGTGCCGTAATCCAAAAAGGAAAAAGTATGGTTGCAAAAGTGGTCGCAAAGGTAATTGCAACCACTTTTTATATGCCGTAAATACAATTACTACCATCATCATAATTTACAGCACTAGTCTTTAATCTATTAATGAGAGAGCACCCAAGGTTATACATAAAAGTCGCGCCAATTTTTGGTGCAAAATTCCTTTTGATTGGCTAATTTCTCAAAAATTATGATCATAATTATGGTATTCATATAAACATTATGTTCCAATATTAAATCAAAGAAATAAAGATTATTTATGAGAAAAGTTGGATAAATTTATTGTTGTAAAAAAAAAGAAATTTAAATACTGAAAGTAAAGATAATTTAGGGCATGATGTGTTGACTGCGTTAACTACTGCAAATACAGATAATAATATTAAAGAAGAAAAATTTAATTTAGCCAAATGAAGAAATCAGGGGAAATCTAGTGAATGATTTTTGTTGGAGTTGATACTGTAAAGATTAAAATTTATTTATTTTCTTCTTAATCTCTTTTGAAAATTAATTTCTTTTGACGATATTTTATTACTTTGGTCCTCAAATTTATTTGCTGCAATAGCATAAAACATCCAATATTTTTAAAGAAATTACACGAAGAAATTGATAAAGTATTTTTTAATAATGGTGTTAATGATGAGAATATTATTATCACTCAAGAAAATTATCTAATTTGGTTTATTATGAAGCTATTATCAAAGAAACTTCAAGGCTGTCACCAATTAATACATTTGTTGATTTATAAATACTGGAAAAGATACAATCAAGAACCTTGAATGGCCAACCAATACAGTATTTTTAATGAACACATTAGCTTTGAATTGAGACGGGAAAATCGAATGAATTTGATCCTGATTGATTTTTTAATAAAAAAAGGATGCTTTGATGTTTGGTGGTGGTCATAGAATATGTCCAGGAAGAAAATTAGCAATGGTTCAGATGAAATGTTTATTGGTTTTATTTATCATTATTGGGATGTTGAATTAGTTAATAAAAATGAACCTCTTAAAAGTAGATATACAACCATTAATAGGGTTTCAAAATTGTTGGTTAGGATTAAACCATGCAAAATTTAAAGTATCACAAATCAGTCATTTGACTTTATAATAAAATAATTTATTTATCAAATTTTATCAATTATTATTGTAAAATCATCTTCAAACCTTTTAAGTAAAAATAAATTTATAAATAATGAAACTTTTATAATTGCCCCAAGAAATCTTGGAAAAATATTCTACTGATCTTCTAGGTTTAAATTGTTAAATCTTGATTTTATTATTTTAAGATGTTTCTTCTTCTTTCTTTATTATTTCTGTCCAAAATTCTATTGCATATCTTATTTGGTTTCCTACAGATTCTCTTTCTACTCCATCTCCACGATATATTTTTATTTGGTCTGTTTTCTTAAATTCTTGTATTCCTTTCTGTAAACATTTCCTGTTATAATGATATGCATTTCCTATTTTGTCATGTAATTCATTCTTTTCTACTTCTTCTGCCGTATTTAAGTTGTCTGAATATTCTAGTTCTATGATTCTTTTAAAATCATTTTCTAGACTCTGTTGATCCTGTTGATCTATTTGATTAATGTATTTTAAAGGTCTTTTGCCTGATAAATATGTTGATAAATATATTTTTTGAATTATTTTTAATTTTAAAGGTAATTCTCTATATGGTATATACATTTTATTGAACTTGTATTTGAGTGAGGATTTTAGCTTTATTCTATTCTTTTTTATCTTAGAAAAAGTATAATAATATATATAATTTTACCATGGAAGTCTTCTGGCTCTGTGATTCCATACATCATTGATAAGGTTTTTATCCTGCTGCTTGCCAGTTCACATGGCCCTTCTATTCTTCATGAGGAACATTTTAAAAAATACTTGTTATATTATTTTATTGATATTGATTTAATTATGTAAGATTCTTTGTAAATTTTATATTAAAGGATCCCTGAAATTTAAGGGATCCTTAAATTTTTTGAAAGAATCCACAAAAACCAAGGATTCTACAGCATTTTAAGGAATCCTTAAGCTCAAAAGTTTCCTGATGTGACTATTACAGAAAATTATTGAAATTGCAATTTGAAATTACAACTTCTTTAATTAACCAGTTAATCGATTAAGTTTTTTTGGAAGGTTTCAATGAGAAGTGAAGCACTTAACCCAACACTCCTTCAAATATATACAAAAAAGCCTTGTGAAATATAGTCAAAATGGTCATTGTTTTATTGATACAAAAAAAAATAATAATTTACATGCATGTAAACTCGTAAACATAATAATGATATTAATAATATTTGATAATAAAAAGTTTCTGCTATATAATTTCTAAAACTTTTTAAATAATTCTACATATCTTCATTTTTTATTCACTACGAGTTTTCCATCAATTTGGGTTACACTCCATGAAATGATATCTCTCTCTACAACAACTTTTTTTTGCCAAATCAGGCAGGCCATTATATAGAGAGTGAACTATATTTATTTTTAATACAATTGATTAAAACAAATTATTGGAATAATTAAAAACTCATTAATGCAAAAATCATGATAAAGTTTAAAAAAATGCATAATTTATTCTAACATATTTTAATTGAGAATATATTTTATTTTTATCTTGTATTATTAAAGAATATGCCTTGTCTTTAAAAATTGATTCCTTTGAAATAAATGGAAGATATTGCAATGATCCTCATTTTCATGGCCATCTTTGATTTTTCCAATTTTTATAAGGCGAGTGTTCTCGCTGGACATGTTGTTGAGTGTTACATTAATGAAGTTACATCAGCTAGAGACCTGGTAATGGTTCCAGGATAGTGCTCTAGTTGAATTGTTAATACCCTAATATATCATGATAATGGTTTCATAAGTGGCATTGGTTAAACACTACGAAATATCATGTTTTCATTATTATTTTTTTATATATTATAGTTAACAGGACTTATATGCTTCACAAGCATATTGAAAAGAATAATGTCTCAAGTTATCTAATAAAACTCAATTTTACATTGATGGAAATTGGTTTAATATAAGTGATGGGAACATAAACCTTCATGATAATTCAATAATTTTGAATATGTTATTCAAGCAAAGTGGAAATCATCAAATCAATTTATTATTGTAGAAGATGTTGAAAGATTTATTGGTATAATGGTTGATCAACTTAATAAATTTGGTTTTTTTTTCAAATATTGGATATTCTGAAAAGCCAATAATTGTGTTAGAAACTCTTTAGTAAAAGATATCATCCTATGTTTGGAAAATATTTTGTTCAAATTAATCAAACTATTAGAATCACAATTTAAAAATAAAAATAATAGAAAAATTATAGACCCATCAATCTATGATGAAATCACCATTGATAATTTAGAAAAAGATTCCCAATCTATCTATTACAAAAGATGGTACAATTAACATTGCTGGTAATTGCAAAATGATTTTAAGAAAACAGGGATTCACTCTTTATTGAAAACAAAATTTGTATGCAAGATTTATTAGAATTTGTTTTTTTGAATTCATTTTGATTATTGGTTTTTAAAGAAAAATGCCTAAAATAATTTTTTTGATTTTCTGTTAGAGAAATGGAATGTGATTATTTCAAAAAACATACTATTCAATAAAGTCATACAGTGTAATGATTGACAAAAATCATATAGTTGGCTCAGTCTAAAGACTTCCTAAATTTTGGGCAAATTTTAAAAGTATAGAAGTCATTTTCTGTCCTACTTTTTAAAATGTAGCACTATAGTTGGCTCAGTCTAAAGACCTCCTAAATTTTGGGCAAATTTTAAAAGTATAGAGGTCACTTTCTGTCCTACCTTTTAAAAAAATAGCTCTATTAGTTGATAGAATATGTC